GGGCTGGGGCCACTCTGGGCTCCCTGGAGGGGTGGCCAATGAGTGAAGGGGAAAAAAAGCCTTATACTGCTCCCAGAGTAGTATTTCCACTGCATTCAAGGTCACTCAGTTTAGCTTTTGTAAACATTTAGACCTTAGAACTCTGTCAATGGAATTTGCATAGCCTATGAAATATCCCCAGCCCCGGGGACCAACATGCTGCCACTGGAGGAATGGCCCAGGGGAGAGTGAACAGTGCCAGGGTTTTGAGGGGGTGCTGGGGATGCAAAGCCAGGCTTGAGCATGTGTTGGGCTCTTCTTGCCTCTTGTCTGGCTGTGACAGCAGCTCCTGGGGCCGACCCGGGGGCTGGTATGCCACAAAGGAGGGATCCCATCTGATCCTACATCACCTGAACCCCATCAGCCCAGCATGAGGGCCAGCATGGAGAGCAAGGGAGCTCCTCACAGCAGTGTCCTTGGCCACCCTGTGTCATCACGGGGCTGTCGGGGTGTGTGCCATGGCATACCTGCCCCAGGGAGACGGGGGGACCCCAGGGCAAAGCTGCCTTGCTGTAGTGGGGACTCTGCCCTTCATCAGCCCTGCTGTGTCCCTAAGACATGTAGCCACAGACACAGACCAGAGACCACATCATTTCCAGGTGGTTTATAGCACATGCCTGAGTGGGATGGGGCTCACAGCTCATCCCGGGATTCATCTGTCACCAACAGACTCGGATCCTCCCTGTCCGTGCTGTTCCCAGGAGTCTTTGTTACCTAGAGAAGGCAGCAGTGAGGTATGGACAAACACAGCTCCTGCCTGTGCCCATCCCCATCCCACAGGATCAGTCCCCCCACCCAGCAGGGTCTGGGGCTGCTCTGGGGGAAGTGGGATTTTCTGGCCCTCAGGGAGAGACATCGCTCACCGCAGGTGGCTCCACAGGCAACGTTCCCCCATTTTCCAGGAATTTGGAGAAGGTCTCCACATCTCGGGCGCTCTTATACTCCACCATCTAGAATCGTGGGATGGGAGGGAGACGAAGGGTGACCCTGTCCCCCATGTGCTGGCAGAGCTGCCATGACCCCAGGAGTGCCCACACTACCTTCCTGCCCGGCCCCGCGGGGAAGTAGTGCAGGGTTGGGAAGCCATGGATGGTGATGTTCTCCAGCTCGTTGGCCGTGGCATCCATCTCTGCAATGATGATGTCCTCGTGGTCCTTGTAGCGCTCAGCCAGCTCCTCCCAGGCAGCTGCCATGGCCTGGCAGTGGGAGCACCACGGCGCGTCTGTGGGATGGGTCGGGTGACCAGGACTCTGCCAGGGCACGGGAGCACCATCCCCCAGGTGAGGGGTCTGTGACAGGGCTGGGGCCTGTAGTGGAGGGGCTGAGCCCCATGGCAGAGCTCAGGGAGGGCCGTAGGTGGCCTCAGCACTTACAGAACTTGATGAAGACGTTCTTTGTCTCATCGAACGCCACCTGCTCAAAGGTCTTCCCGACCAGGACTTTAAGAGGTCGCTTGTCCCAGTCCTCGGGGGGCTCCTCACTCAACAGACGGGGCTGTGGGGACAGTGGGGACAGCCACAGCCTGGGCCCCTTGGGGCACAGTGAGGCCAGGCAGGCTCCTGTGCTGCCTTTTGGACCACCTCATCCTAGCTCTGATCAGATGCTTCCTTTCCCATACCAACCCCATGCCCCAGATCCTCCAGCCTGGCAGCAGAAGTATCAGCAAGCAGGTGGCTGGTGACACTGCACAACTATCATCACTAGGCTTCAGAGTCAACAGCCCATCAAACACTGAAGGGAAGAATCCATTGGTGCTGACTGGCACCATGCTGTGCCCCTCACCTTCACCTTGCCATCCAGCACTGCCTGGATGAAGGTGCTTATGGCCTTGTCCGAGAAGTCATCCTGGTCCATCTGGTACTTGCGGTTGTTCTTCATCTTGACGAGGCGCAGGGTGGGCGCGTCGGAGGGTGTCATGCCAAAGAAGGACAGGACGTCGGCACCGTGCCCGGTCACATCCACCACCACAAAGAGCACCTGGGCAGGGAACAGGTGACACTGAGGCTGGGCTGCCCCACAGCCATCCCTCGTGTCCCAGCCATGGGACCACCTCACCTCACCCCGGAAGGCACCAGCAGCTGCCCTGAAGTTGTCCTGCAGCGCCAGCTGCTCTGATGATGACTTGTTGAGAAAGAGCAGCATGTGGTGGGGGATCTTGGCACTGAAGATCTGGTTGGATGTCTGAGGAGGAGGAGGAGGGTGAGGGCAGAGGGGCCGTGGCCCTTACAAGACAGAGACAGGGATGGGGACGGGCTGTACCTCGTTGGTGAACTCCATCACCAGCTGCAGGCTGTGGACACGGAGCAGCCGGGTGAGCTCGGCCGCGTCCAGGCCCCGCACAGGGTCCACGGGGAAGTTTGTCTGTCTCTCATCAAACTGCCAGGGCAGGGGCTGGTGAGGGCTGGGGGAGGACCAGGACGGCCCCATCCCCCCCGGTCACCCCCTCACCTTC